ATGGACTGTGCAACCTAGGAAATTATTTTTGCCCCGACAGAAAAAGAAGAGAAAAAAGCCATTACCTTACTAAATAAGCCATGTTATTTCAGAATAGTTTAGGAAATACTGCACTACACCAATAATGATCTCATAGTGTGATCAGTCTCTCTATTACGGATGAACAAATTGTGACGAAGATGAACGCTAATTCTGAAGTGCTGGATATTTATACGTGTTTATTCATGGATCTATAGGACCGCGCTAAAGACACTAGGACAATGGTGAGTCAATGAGTTTTAGATGTTGTATTATGGCATAGATATTTTTTTTTTAGATACTCGATAGTCAATGCCCATGGCCCCCAGATCGACTTAGCCTTGAATGGGTACTAGACCGAGTCTTGGAAGTAAAGGAGTGGGCTTCGTGGTGTCGAGGAATGGTGTCCGCCTCGAGTGCTAGAGTTTCTGGGTTCAATCCTCGATAAGAGCTGGGATTTTTTCCACGTGTACTTGGACTTTTAGTAAATCCCCCCGGTCTCCTGTAGTGAGATCTGACGCCCGTATGCATTTTTATGCGCGCGTAAAAAATCCCCTGGCAGTTGGAAATCGAAAACAGTAGCTTAACGGCGCTGCCCGGGCAAACAATTTAGTTAAAAATCTACCCAAAGTATTTCCGGATTCTCACCGGTGCTACATAGCTTGTGCACTGTGGTGAGCTTCTTCGGACTCAGACTTGAGGTTAGAAGAAGAACGGAGCACTTATGGGTTAAAAATCTACCCAAATTATTTCCGGATCCTCTCCGGTGCTACAGAGCTTGTGCACTGTGCTGAGCTTCTTCGGACTCAGACTTGAGTTAGAAGAAAAACGGAGTACTTATGGGTTACTACGCGTGTGCCATGATGTTGATCCGTTGTTCAAACCTCAACCTTGGAGGTTAAGGCTGGTCTCATCACCCAACTAGTGCTGATTGATCTACATAATATAAGTCTGGCCCTATAAGCCCAATACGCTCGAAAGCGGAGAAAAGGGTCCTTTGCTTACTTATACTGGGTAGTCGAAAGTCAAGGCTTCAGCTACTCTACTCCCTGCGGATGGTCCGTTCCATGTTATAGACACATCCGCACTTGATGGGTGATGTAGTCAACCTGTCGCTGGAGCTGACTCTTACGACATGCTTATAGGAGAACGCAATGGGTCTATTCTCGTTTTTACAACAATGGGGCCCCCGAACCCACACGGGAATAGATAGTTTCAACTATGTAGAGTTTATATTGCCGCTTTTGATTGTGAATAACTGAGAAAAAGACGAGCACAGAACCCACTTTATGTTTGCAGGCGCTCGACATTTAGTGTTAGCCACATTATTTAAGTGACCAAATGACTCTGTAGGTAATATAATCAAAATCACGACGACCGCCTTTGCCCCCTAAGGAATTTCGTGGTACTGTTTAGTTCTTAGACCCGATACCCCGGCGTTCATTTTGTTTGAGCCTTGACTGACCGGTCTGGAAAAAAAATGTGGCCCCGTTCAACCAGCTTCTTTATTACAGAAGGTTTTGATATAAATATAACTGTGGGTTAATTTTCTTGTGCCAAGTTTAAGGGATGAAACTGGATTTTCGTGCCATGTCTAATGGCTTAGTATTTCAGCCCTGATGGAGGCTTGTATTTACAGGAACGAGGCTAATGTTGTGATTATAACTGAAATAAAGGAAGGCCAACTCAACAAGGGACACTGCAATTAGTCATGCAATATAGCATCGTAATAACCACAGTATATCCCCATCACAACTACATTTATAAACACACACACACACACACACACACACATAAAGTCACCACAGCATCTTTGGTAGCACTTAAAGACACCCTGTCAACTAGTGTGCCACATAGCCGCAACTTTGTCGACCCCACAAACATGAGCCGACATATACATTCTAGAAAAACACTAAGAATTCTGAAGTCCAACTTATGATCACAACAAAGTCCATGCGTCCATAGGACCATTCGCGCACACGTCTACACACTTAGACAGAATGAGACGCGACTAACTCAAGTACCACCCACTTCCACCAAAAGCGGTCACCGTCACGTGGATCTCACATTGTCCCCACGACTCGGGATGTTTGCAATCATCCATGAACATCAAGCAACCTCTTTTTACAACTTTGAGTAGCTCAAATCTTCACACTCACAACCTGTCAACACAACGTAATTGCTCGTGTGTACCCAAGCTTCACCAAGCCCTGGTTTCACCAATTCTTCATCCCCGTGTGGGTTCCAGGGCCCCATTGTGGGGAAAACAAGAATAGACCCACTGCCTACCCAAAAGCAGGTCGAAAGAGTCGACTAATTTGGGAGCTTCCTTTGAAGTTCGAGTGCATTTGCCTGAAAGGCAAGGAACCAACAGTATGCATTCAAGTGAATCAGATCTGTAAAACTGATGCACACACAACACTCAGGTTCTGGAGCAGGACTGCAGTTCAGAACTGGACGAACAACTAGAACTTTCCGCCAGAGTGAACAGCTGGTGAACGCGAAGAAGAAGAAGAAGACTAATTCTTCACATACCACAGGGACTTTAGCATATTCACGTCATAGCGCATCAGGCAAATCTTGCTACACATATTTGTTTATCAAGAAAAGATTTAAAACCGAACGAAAAGTATATTAGCAAGCTTCACAATATAACAAATACAAACAAAACGTGAACATTCGCGGCTGATGAGCCTTCATCAGCGCATACAAATTAAACAATACTACACAGATATACAAAATCACTTAGCTGATATCTCGAAGCAGCTGGGTCGGTTGTTTCTCAGCAGAATCTCACTCACATATTCGTATAGACCAGTCGGCACTCGACAAATGACGTCGTCAACCTCACGCCAGTCGTATTTACGAGCTTCGAGTGCTTTATTATTATCTTACCCCAAACAGGGGAAATCCACAGGTCACGGGACAGTCTAATATTGCAAAGGAGAGGGGGGGGTAGATAGGCTGCACGCAGTCGTGGCACCTAAGCTGCACTTTCTCGTGGGGCGTAGGTGTGGTGGGGTTAGGACCAGTTCTAAATGTTTTGGGGTCGTTAAAAGCTTCAGAAAGACAGGAAACCCAGTTTTATCACCCTCTAAAATGTTGGATTGTACTGTGACGTCGTCTAGTGTGGGATTTTAATATGTTTATAGATTTCATATTATTTTTAAATATATTTTTATATTTATTTGCCACAATAGTAGTAGTACTCGTAGTAGTAGCAGCAGCAGCAGCAGAAACAGCAGCAGCAGGGGTAGGAATAGTAGTAGTAGTAGTAGTAGTAGTAGTAGTAGTAGTAGTAGTAGTAGTAGTAGTAGTAGTAGTAGTAGTAGTAGTAGTAGTAGTAGTAGTAGTAGTAGTAGTAGTAGTAGTAGTAGTAGTAGTAGTAGTAGTAGTAGTAGTAGTAATTATAATCACAATCACTATTTAATCCATGTAAATAAGGCCTAAACTCGGTGTCCCTGCGCCTACTCCCCCACCCCCGCCCTCATCCCCCACCCACCCCTAGGAAAATGGGTAAGGGGATTGAGCGCACGAATGTTTGCTGTGTTCTTGTGACCCTTTGCTATATAATACAGTATTGTTATTGTCGAGCAGCATTTATTATTTTTATCATTTTGAATGATTACAGCGTATAGTGGTGAAGGCAGTCACTGCTGCTTTCTGCTGGCTTGAGAATCAGCTGTACACACATGCCATGGTTGTAACTGACTCACAGAGCATGTTAAGACAGATGAAGACAGGCATGACCGTGCAGAGTGGCAAGCATCGCTTCAGAGGTCGCTGGTAGTTCGCGTCCTTTGGATATTTACCTTAGATCATGCTGGTGTGTTGGAAAATGAGCAGGCAGATAGACTGGCCGGCTCTGCACCACTTGCTGGTTAACTGATTATCGATATGCTAGATATTCTGAGGGCCCTTTAGGAGCGAGTGAACAGTACGGAGGCACAGATAGATCATTTCCGTCTGAGGAGAAGGACGCTTCAAGAAGTTACCAGGGGATCAGGCAGACGTTCAACCCTCAGGTGAAGGACGCGACGCCTATACAATTAGACATTTACTGGTGTCATTGAAATTTCAACTCTTCGTTTGCTGATGACGGAGCGCTTATGGGGTTGTCCCGAGTGCTGTGATGTCGATTCTTAATTTAACGGTCAACATTTTTAATAAATTATTTATGTTTAGCAGAAAATAAGCTTTTTTTTTTTAATCTGTAACTACAAGGACGAGAATGGAGGCTGAGGCAATCACTGCAGCTGGTAATGGTAATCTAATAATCTTTAAAAAAAAAAAAAAAACTCACAGAATCAATCCTCTGGTATTTATTCAAGAACTGAACATTGTAGAAGGTCGGCTATAACGACGATAACTAAAGTTACCAAGTGAATTATTTGTCTGATTTTTAGTCGGTATTGCGGAAGGTTCGAAATGGACAAATGTGGCATGAGTGGAGACAAAGTTCCCGTTGGGGTTCCGGACCTCATTGTGGGGTCAAAAAGAATCGATCCACTGCATACCAAATAAGCGTGTCGTAGGAGTAGACTGGTTGGGGGTTTCCTTCGAAGATTGGTGCATCTGCCTGAGCCGCAAAGGACAACCATCTGCATACAAATAAGCCATCAAAAGAGATGTACAAGCAAAACTCAGCCTTGGTACAAAGACAGTCCAAATGAACTAACAACCAGCACTTTCCACCGGAGTCTACAGACGGTCAACGAAGAAGGATATCAAGTATCAGTACGTTAACATTGCAGTGAGTCACTGTCAGGAAAAGGCAGGAGTACGAGGGAATGAAAGAGCGGATTTTCTGACTACAAAAGTCATATTTACTGGAATGCTTGTACTGGATTAAGAAGAGATTCTGAAGCCCATTTATTAACGTATACTGACAGCAGACACGATGTTACTTGAGACAACACTAGTAACAATTTTTGAACCAGGAATTTAAAGCGGATCTTCCAAGCACAGATGTATGAGATGTAGAGAATGACTTGTTTATAAGTGTGTTACATGAACAGTTAGCATCTTCACTTGTGGACATTTGCTGCGGGAGACAGAGCATCTAGTGGCATGACCTGTGTGCTATGAGTCGATTCTTAAATCAATAATCAATAATCAGTTTAGCAGTAACAGTCAGCTGATTTTTTGTGTTTCCTTATACATTTCAGTATGGAGTCATTCACTTCGTTGTGAAGGATATGATTCTCTCACAGTTTGGACAAGAGGCTCTAGACAAGATTCTGTAAGTTGTGAAGCTTTTGTTGTTAGCACTAGGAATATGGCACGTAGTGTGTCATTTACTGAAAACAGACTGGACTGTGAAGTCAGTAGCATCTACCGCCAAAGTCAGTGCATACATATAGACCATTGGGAGACATGGGGGGGGGGGGGGGGGTTGGGATGTGGCTGAGGTGTCTCTAATCAGTTAAAAAGTAAAGAATCCCTTTCTACTCCATAAGGTGTTTTAGGCATATAGGGCCTGACCAGTGGTTTCCAAATTGGGGGAGCGCACTTCTAGAGAGGGGCTCTGGGATTTCAAGGGGGACACCAAGCAATTTTTAAACTGAGTCAATTTGTAGTTGCAATTATTATTTTCAACTTTAACAGACATGAAAGCAAAACAGCTTTGCGTGCTGAATGTGGACATTGATCTCCCTTGTGTCTTGTCCAATCTTGTCCACCATCAGCCATAAAATAGTTGCTATCACCAAGACAAAACAGTGTCAACGGTCACATAGATATTTGGATAATAAATTACTACTTGCTGATGATTGTTTCTTTTGTTATTTGACACTTTCAATTGTTTTTTGACAATGTTATTTGTTATTTGGCACTTTCGTTTGTTATTTGAAATTTTCAATTGTTCTTTGACACTTTTATTTGTTATTTGATACTTTCATTTGCTTTATAACAATTTCGTTTTTTTTTTTTTTTTTTGACACTCTTTTTATTTGACAACATATGTATGTGAATGTTTTCTCCAAGTTCTTGTTAGTAGTGCTTGAGAATTTTGTTTGTCCTTTTTTTTTTAATCACATTTATTTAAAATGTTGGTATGGATATTTGGGAGGAGAGGGGGGTAGGGGGGGGGGGGGGTTGCCATTCATTCAGGCAAGGCTCTACCTCAGCAGGTTGGAGACCACTGGCCCAGACCTATAGTTTATAGACCTATCGGATCTCAGAGGGTGATGTGGTCAGCATCATACCGACTGTCTATATTCCCAGGACTTTACATAGTACCAATTTAAGGCTGGGTTAACTTGGGAACCAGGGTCATTTTCGAGAAAAAAAAAAAAAGTCTTTTTTCTCGGTCTCTCTCTCTGCCTCTCCTCCCCTCCAACTTTCCTACTGTCACGAGTTTTCTCCTTTTCATCACATGACCAAAGAATGTAGACTGTCTCTTTCTGATGTAGGCAAACATTTCTCTTCATTAGTCAGTTTCTTTCAACACATCATTACCCACTTTACTTACTAGCCAGACAAATTCGAACACGTCCACGCCTCACTGTGTAGCGTGTTTTCGTTAGCAACAATCGTGATACAATGTCCTCCAACGTTTTTACGATCTTTGTTGTCTCCCTCGGGATCTCAGTCCCGGTAACTGTGACCTTTCAGCTGTCAGCTAATTTATGCCAGATCTAATTGAGAGTCTTCTTGTGTTTTCTATAAATGGAGACTGGAACACTTGCAGAGATGTCCGGGGAGTAATGACAAGTAATTCCTTAATTGCCAAGCCAAATCTGATTGCGGAGGGGAAAGGATGCGATTGCCTGGAAATTGTAGTTAATAAAAGTCTGCATTTAAATCATTCAGTGGCAAGCAAGTCACCTTGCATTTGTTGATTTCTCATCACCATAGTCCTGTAACACTGTGTTCGTTGGGTCCTCATTTACCATTGAATGTCCGATCAGCTTCCTCCGCCTTGTCGCTCATATGCATGTCTGCGTGTTTGAAGTTAAACCAATCAGTCAAGATCTGTATCCAAGTCTGTCTTGGTATGCTTTTTCTCCTCTTCCTCGCTACAGAACTCCATAGTTACCAGATCTGCCAGTCACTGAGCTGCCTGCAGATCCGTCCCTCTGTGAAGCAAATTCATTCTAGCCCCACTTTTCGGTTAAAACTGACTAGACAGGCGCACATGTAATTACGTGATGTACAAGGTCGGATGGACCAGATTTAGCACAGGTCCACATTAATTAACAACATCTATAATAATATGGGAAATGAACAGGCGGACAGACTGGCTGGCTCTGCACAGCTTGGTGGAATACTGATGCATGATAAGGCAGACGTGGTTAGTGCATTGTGGGAGAGCTTGTATAGGTCACTAAGGCTTTCGTTATGCCAACTAGTTCCGATGTGAAAACTGACGTATTATCTGTGATTTTATAAGATTTGTGTATTTTTCAATAAGGAAGACAAACACCTGCCCCTTAATTCTCTTTTTTTTTTCATTACTGGATCTATCAATGTACATTATCAGGTTATCAGTTTCAATGTTTCTTACGTTCTCTATGGTCCTTGCTTGTAGTGGTTCCGTGTTTTATGAAATCTGTTTTGCAAGCTCTTGCCTACGTATTGTGGTTTCAGTTTCCATGGTGATATCTGAAGTTTATATCTCTTACTCACTTCAAGTGTCCTTGCTAATTCCTTATTTGTTTTCATTTCTCGCCAATGAAATGGGAAACTGCGAGACTGAATAATCGAGGATGTCCAAGAGAAACCATAAAGTGAACGTTGATGAAAGATGCCAAAGCTGCTGGACTAAATTCCTTCCATTTTATAGAAATGACTGTACACGACAGAACGGAATGGAGAAATGGAATTTGCGCCCTATGTGACATAGTGGCACTATAGAACAAGGAACTGATGACTGAATTACTTTGGCGTAGTTCCCACCATATTCTCCGCGTGTTTACGTACGAAAACATGAACAAATTATTCTCACACATTATTTAGCACACAGAAAAAAGGTTCACATTAAATTGTAACATCTATATACTTTTCTACAAAGACCAAAGAGGCCATAAAAAGCCACACATTTCATGAAAATGGAAATTAATTACGTTCTCATTCCCCGTGCCACACATACAAGTATCTAATTAATTAATAATGACATGTTTTTGTCAAGCTAATTGCTGCTGCGCAGAATCGTTCCCGTGTTTGGCAATATTTGCCAAATAAAACCAATGTGGGTCAGTCAGATCGACTGTCACGGCTCTTACGTCTTCAGTCGACGGAATATGACCTTGACGTAGTCATGAAATAAATAGTAGTTTTGTCCTCCCTCCAGCACTCCAGTCTGAACATTTGATACCAAGTGACTCAAATTGCCACTATTCCGACGCGAATGTGACAGAAGCAAAACCCAGACAACCCGCTCAGAACGTATAAAACAGTTATATTGGGGCACACTGGTCAAGAAATCGACTACTGACCTGTCATGGTGGCGTTAATTTGTAGAAAAGCAAGTTAACTTTAGCTATTATACAGAAGCAGGCTGGGATAAGATGTTGTTTCGTCTTCTTCTTCTTCTTCTTCTTCATCAGCATTCCGAGCCCTTGAGGTTCATTGCTGCAGATATCACCCACCTCCATTTATCTCTCTGGTTGGCCTTGTCTTTCCAGTTGGTGACCCCATGTGTAGGTCTGTCTGGATATTATCTCTCCATCGTCTTCTTGGTCTGCCTCGTGGTCTACGACCATTCATTTCTCTCGTGTATACTTCTATATTTTGTAGTATAGTTTTTATTTCTCTGTCATCTGACATTCTTTCAATATGCCCCAATCAATTCAGTCTCATATAACAATTCAGTACTCAGGTACTTTTCAAAAGTTGATCCCTTACGTCTGGCAACACCTACAATTATAAACAAGTCCTAGATGCGGGGTCGCCGTTGTCCCAAAATATTTCATCTTTATTGTAGGCTTAAAAGAGGATTGGGGGGGGGGGGGGGTTCGAAGGGGAGGTTATCGTATTGCTTGCTCACGAAATGAATGAAAATGTAATGATTGCTGTTTTTTTTAATGTCATTGTGTGTTACCTGCCACTTTTTATGTGATGCACGTTCACACTGATAGAAATGTAATACGCATTTAACAAGAATTAAAAACCTAGTAGTATTAGTAATGGTGGTGGTGGTGGTAGTGATAGTAGTAGTAGTAGTAGTATTAGTAGTAGTAGTAGTAGTAGTAGTAGTAGTAGTAGTAGTAGTAGTAGTAGTAGTAGTAGTAGTAGTAGTAGTAGTAGTAATTTTCACAGCAGTTATGGTGGTGGTAGCAGTTGTAATCGTAGTGGTTGTGAGAGTAGAGAAAGAAAAAAGAAGAAGGTGTGCGAAAGGACAAACAGGTAGACAGTGAGGTGGAAGGAGGAGGTGGAACAAGCGAGACGCTGATTGAACTGATATGATGTCACTGACCCAAAAACAAAAAGTAATATTCTATACGGGTGCTCTCTCCCCCCCCCCCCCCCCCCCCTTTTTTTTTTCTGTGTAAAATTTTTGAGATAACCAAAAGATTACGCCAGGTTATGCAGTCCTAAGATTTATGTGAAGTATTTTTAAACATGTCATTCCATAATAAATCTAGCGTGGTGATTGGCCTCATATATTCTTGAGAAATGAGGCCTAATGGTTTTCCGTTACCTCCCACGCCTGCTAGCTGCTGTCTGTTCTACGGAAGTTGTAACCCAGTAACCGACGCTTGCCAGCTAGTGTGCAAGTTTTTTGTTCTAGTCTGTGTCAGTGCGCATTCTTCATTATATTCTTCTTCTTCTTCTCCTCCTCCGTCTCCTCCAACCCCCTCTCCTCCTACTCCTTGTTCTTTTCTTTTTCTTTTTCTTCTTCTTCTTCTTCTTCTTCTTCTTCTTCTTCTTCTTCTTCTTCTTCTTCTTCTTCTTCTTCTTCTTCTTCTTCTTCTTCTTCTTCTTCTTCTTCTGCTTCTTCTTTTTCTTCTTCTTCTTCTTCTTCTTCTTCTTCTTCTTCTTCTTCTTCTTCTTCTTCTTCTTCTTCTTCTTCTTCTTCTTCTTCTTCTTCTTCTTCTTCTTCTTCTTCTTCTTCTTCTTCTTCTTCTTCTTCTTCTTCTTCTTCTTCTTCTTATTATTATTATTATTATTATTATTATTATTAGTGTTGACGTTCACACGCTGTAAAATCAGGCGGATAGTTCTGGTTGTTCGTCCACTCATGGGCTTTGGATTTTTCAGGAACTTAAGTTTTGTGGGTACATTCGTTCGTTTTACAGA